CACTGACTTGACATTTATCTCGTTCTTCTTGTAATGAGATAGCATTCCGAATAAGCGGTAGATTAAAAAAAATGTTATAACTATTCAAAAGTGGTTAAATTAAGTTTTTTTGAATAAACGATTCTCTATTCTATTCTTATCATTATATTTCGACCAATTTATATAATATCTTTTTAAATTATAGCCGGTGTGTTATTCTGATATATAAACTATATCACTGTAAACTTTCATAAAAATAATTTCAGTAGTTTTTGCGTGAAAGAGTAATAAACATCCATACTCAAAAACTTTCGCGTTTATATTACTAAGATTTACACTTAAGGTTTACGCATTGGCAACAGAATTTTGCTATGACGTTTTTTATAGGCGCTAATAGAAGCAATAATATTAATTATGACGATTTCATTTCTAAATAATTGGGGATTAAAATACGGGCAATTAACAATTCGTACTATCTTTATTTATTTATTAGCGATTTCTCGCGATTTTGTCTGCTTTTTTAACATAAATTATAACAATGTTTTCAAATTCAAATTCAAATTCAAAAATCATTTATTCATGTAGGACATTTTAGCCGCTTATGAACGTCAAATTTTTACATTATATTTTTTTTTTTTTCCCTACCGTCCAGTTCGGTATATAGATCCAATTGAGAAGAACTGGCAAGAAACTCAATTGAATTACTTTTTTTTTTAGAGCCAGTTTATTTACAATGTATATTTATATAGGTGTCTATGTCTAACATTAAATGAAAATTCAGTGTATGAACAACTATTGCCATGCACACTCGTCATTCAAGTAATCGTTTAGTGAGTAATAGGCTTTGCTCAGTAAATATGATTTAACAGATGTTTTGAATTTGTTTAAGGGTAATTCCAACATATCCTTTGGTATCTTATTGTAAATTTTTATACCTATTCCCATAAAAGACCTATTAACTTTTTCTAAACGATACTTGGGGACAGCAAGTTTGTCTTTAAATCTTGTATTAATATTATGAATATTGCTGTTTTTTGGAAATAAGTCAAGATTTTTATGAACATATAGGATATTTGAATATATAAATTGAGAAGCAACGGTGAGAATATTTGCCTCTTTGAATTTCTCTCTTAATGAGTCACGACTCTTCATACAGTAGATCGCTCGATCGGCACGTTTTTGTAATATGAATATATTTTTAATATCTGCCGCTTTTCCCCATAGTAATATTCCATAAGAGAGTAAACTATGAAAATAACTAAAATAGACTAATCTAGCAGTATCAGTATCAGTGTACTGTCTAACCTTACGCACGGCAAAAGCTGCTGAACTTAGTTTCGCTGCAAGGCTTTGGATTTGTGCACCCCATTGTGTTTTATTATCTAGTGTGATTCCTAGAAAGACAGTAGATTCTATAAATTCGAGAGATTCGTCATTTAATTTAATATTGCAATTAGTATTAAAACTTTTAGACAGAGAGAAATTAACACATTTTGTTTTTTTAGCGTTTAACATAAGATTGTTAGTTGTAAACCAGTGCAGGAGACGCCGCAAAGCACTATTTACATCGTCATAATTATTAGTCATTCTATTAACTTTAAAAATCAATGAAGTATCGTCTGCAAATAATACTATGCCGCATCTATCCTGCATGGCATATGGGAGATCATTAATGTAAACTAGGAATAAAAATGGACCGAGAATAGATCCTTGAGGTACACCCATTTGCACAAGTGACCCGTCAGACGTAGCGTTGCTAACCTTCACTTTCTGTATTCTATCAGATAGATAAGATTTTATTAAATTTAAAGCATTGTCTTTGACGCCATAAAAAGCAAGTTTTTTTAGCAATGTATTATGATCAACGCAATCAAAAGCCTTAGAAAGGTCACAAAAAACACCTATCGCATCCATTTTAGTTTCCCATGCAGCAAATACGTGTCTAAGCAACTCTGCACCTGCGTCTGTAGTTGAACGACCTTTGGAAAAACCGAATTGACTATTGTGAATTAAATTATTTAAATTGAAATAACTGACAAGCTGCATAAGGATTATTTTTTCAAAAATTTTACTGAGTGCTGGGAGTATAGATATAGGTCTATAATTTATTGGGTCACTCCTATCTCCAGATTTAAAAAGCGGTATGATTTTACTAATTTTCATTATGTTAGGAAATTTACCTTCATCTATACATTTATTGAAAATAAAAGCAAGAGAGGGCGCAATAATTTCCATTATACTATCCAGTATTTTAACAGATATACCCCATAGATCCTCTATTTTTTTATTATTAAGCTGTTTGAATATTTTCATTATTTCTACTGATGATGTATGTCTAAAGTTAAATACAGCTGATGACTTGCTAACATTGTCTGTTAGTAAAGTTTCAGCAGCAGACGGGGGAGATTTTAGAGCCTGTGTCGTAATTAATGGAATATTAGTGAAATAAGATTCGAATGTATCCGCGACCTCTGTGTCGGAATTTACCAATTTGTTATTAATATTTAAAGCTATTTTGCTATTTTGAAAATTAACTTTTCCAGTTTCGCTATTTATTACTTTCCAAGTGGCTTTTATTTTATCTTTAGATTTAGTTATTATTTTGCCTAAATAGAGAGACTTAGCTGTATGACAAACCTTTTTAAATATTTTCGAATAAGATTTTACATGTTCATGAAATAAGGGATCGGATATATAGCTTCGTTTTTCGTAAAGTTCGTAAAGATTAGCCCTAGACTTATAAATACCAAACGTGGCCCAGTCACAAAACTTTGATTTTACACTAGTTGAAAATGTTTTAGTTTTAAATTCACTGCTAGCTTCATGTTCAATTAAATTAAAAATATGTTCACATACAATGTCCGGGTCATATTGAGGTACTATGACACTAGATATTTTATGTTCAATTTTATTTTTAAAACGTGCCAAATTCTTTTGTGTTATTTGTCTGCATGTAATTGTTTGAGTCCCTTTGGATCCCTTAGTTTCAATTATAACTTTTTGTCCATAATGATCAGATCCAAGACAGTCGAAATTCATTTTCACCTTTACTTCACAATTACAAAAAACATTATCTATACAAGTGGCAGAATTTCCTGCGACCCTAGTGGGTTCTAAAAAAAGATTGTGCAAATTAAATGATTTAAATAAGTTAATCAATCTTAAGCTTATTGAGCATTCCGATAATAAATCAACATTAAAATCGCCACATACAAATAATGTTTTATTCCTCCGTGCGACTCGTCTCAATGCTTCCTCCATAGCCAGTTCAAAAGTTCCAGTTCAGTTTGCGTTGTGATATAGTATATCTTAACTCCTGTTTCTCGCACGATACAAACATTTATATTCATGAGTCTGATTAGTCTGGGCGCTTTCTTGTGTAATATGCATGTAATTACGAAAAAATATATATCTATGTACTTGTATCAATTATCTAGTACCCATAACACAAGCTTTAGCTAGCTTAACTTGGGTCTAGATGGCGCTGTGTAAAGAATGTCGTATAACATCAATATCCTGTATATTGATGTCAGACACGAGAATTTTCTTTTTGCATGTATGTAATGTGTTTAATTATCTTTAATAGATGTCTAATTAATACCTAAATGATAAGCTCTGATTAGCTTTGGACTATATAACACTTTGTCAATTATCCAGGGTTATTACTATTATTATTGAAAAGAAAACAAACTAAAAGTAGATACACATTCATATTTATAACATTATTAGGAATTGTGAAATGTTATTACTGAAATAAGTGACAACCCTACTGCATTGCTAAGGCCCTCGACGCACGCGTGTAAAACAAAAGAACGGTGAACGCATCTTCGTTTTTCGATCGGCTAATTATCCGCCAACTAGTGCCAACAATTGTAACAATGTCGATAATTTTCATTTGTGTTGTTTTCTTTTGCTACAGACAGTGTCTAGACCTTACGTTGAGACGTAACATGCGTAAAATGTCTTAAACCAAAAATAAACTTTCGATCTTATAAATTTGTTACTACCAGACACAATTGGCTATAACTAACATTATTAGCAATGTATCGTATTTTAATGATGATAATGAAATGGTGCATCCGCCTGCGTTAACCGTTACGCTGGCGGTGCACCAGTGGAGGATGATAAGATGAACATGAGGTCAGGTCAGTTAGCGCATCGTGGCAAGTTCACTAAAAATGTATCACGATGGTTTCCAGGGGGAACCGCGTGAAGGTCAACCTGATATGGTACATTGCTATAAGATCATTAGTCGACATTACTAACAATTCCCTTTTCCCCCTAATATATCCTATTGGGCGGAAGGGGATTATAAGTAATATGGATTAATAACCCCATTTGCTAGTGTTTTACTCGCTAAAGTGGTGTCTAGGGCAGAGATGCACTATTCTGCCACACTTGCATTCTATAATACAATACCGTTATGTGAAGGACTATTGTAATGTATGTAGAATTAGGTCGGTAATACAAGGCTCTACATGCCATACCGGTGTCCTTAGGGTCTTTTAGTTGAGGTCCAAACTTGGCGATTTGGCGATAGTTTTTATTGTACGACAACCCGGTTTTTCGTTAATTTCCTCAATTTTAGGTTTTTGGCAATACATTCTGCTTCCTGTGAATATCAATCAAGTGCTTGTTAGAATATATTTATGTTGTACTTATTTTCTGTATAACTCACCCTTTTGAAGTTTTCTGCATAGTCAATTAAAAATACAACATCAATATTGATAGTTTTTGTCATGTGTGGCGAATACTCTAGTAATATTTTTTTTAATTAAATAAGGATATAACCATTATAATTTAATTTGGAAAATATTGTTATAATTGAAATTTTCCATATTTATAGTTTTCTCTAGAGACATGTTTTTGTATTATTTTCTTCACATTTCTTTTTCCCTTCCCTTTCAAAGTTTAGTTTAAATTCTGATCCAAGCTCTATATTCTGTTTTGAAAATTGTCTCCATTTATTTCTTTTTGAAAAAAATTGTTAGTAGTATCTGAACAAACAGGACATTTGTATTTAGGTTCATTATCATTTGTCTTGTTATTTATTATCGCACGATGTTTTTTTTCAATTTTAATTCTATGTTCTTCTTTGATTGCTATTTATTCAAGTTCTATTATTATACTTTACTGTGACTTGTATACTGTGTATGACTACTTCTATAATTAGTAATAATTACAGTTATGCGTCTATTATTAAATAATTTATTTAAATATAGGATTCAATTTTATATCCGCCATTAAACTACTATAAATATCTAATATTTAGTCTTCTTTTGGTTCCATATTTTCACTATATTTCTTGTTTTCTATTTGAAACGATATACTCTTTTTTATAATTTCCTTGTTTTTTCTAATATCAGTTTCTGATACAGATTTATAACACTTATAATTTAAATGTTCATTCTTAGAACCATTCAATGACATTGTATTTGGTAACTTTGATTTGATAACAGAACAGGAATGTCCTTTTGATGTAGAAGCAGTGTTATCATTTTGTAGCTCAACCGACTTTAAAATGTTTTCCATATCTGAACTCGAAATAAAAAGTTCTTTCAATCGCAAATCAAACAAATTATTCTCATCTAAATTTAAAAGTTTGTCAAACTTTTTATCAAAAGTATTATTAGAAAATAAAATATCAGAAACCGACATATCCGAGCGGGGTATAGTACTAGTTAAAGAAAACTTAGAACGTTCATATTGCGAGGTTTTAGTATCATCTAGAACAAACATTCCAACCGTTTTCGATCCAGAAAATTCATTAGATGTAGAAGAAACATCTGATGACTGATACATTATCGTTCCTCCTTTATTTCGGCCTTCGGGAATATTTTTAGCTTTTAAAGGTGCCCGTACTTCCTTTTTTATTTTAATAACCTTCTTGTCTTCAATAACACTACCATCTTCATTTTTAACTCTCACTATTCTTATGACCTCTTTTATTTCAGTTTCAAATGTACCTAGCTCTAAATCAGTTTCTGTTCTTGATTGAGACACAAATTCTGGTAGTATTGCTGAAATTGCTGATTTCATACTTGACTTCGATTGTACTATATCCGGTTTTGTTTTAGTTTCCGTAATTAATTTCACAGAAACTTGCTCTTTCAAAGTTTGTTCTTCATTAAACCGTTTCAAACATGCCGAACATAATTTATTTACAGATATATCTGAAATTATGGGCTCTGTAAGTGCATTTCCGTCTTCGGGTTCTTTCTGTAACATTTCCTTTAATTCTACTGCTGTTTTCAGGAACTCTTCTACACTGGTCGTAATAATACCTCTGTCTTCAATGTCTTTTGTAACATTTACGATATTTTCTATTTGACTTTTGAATGATTCCAAAAGCTCTTTATCAGTGACTTTTTCTTCTGTCTTCGATGATGTAGCTTCTTCTAGATGTAATAAATCGTTACAAACAATACACTTTCCAATTAAATTTTCTTTTTGTATAAATAGCTTTTTTTTACATATTTCACAAGAATTATCTGGTTCCCCATGGTCGCAAATTTGAACTGCCCGTCTTTTAATTTCTAAGATCTTTTTTAATCTAAAAAATTCTTCCCTTGCTATTTCTTCCAGTTCGTCGTTAATGTAAACGATGCTGGCTTGTGTCCTCGGCACCACGACTTTACCTAATACGTTTTGTTTCCTGCCAACAATGTCATTTATCTTAGAAATAACATTATTTTAGCCTTCTGAACTGCTAACACCTGTTTTCGTATAAGGACTGTACGGGCTTCGTACAATTTATTGATATTTTACAATTATGTATAACATTTTGTTGTTGTGGAAGTATTATCTTCATTTTCTAATAACTAAAAATCTGTTAGTTTTTCTTTGTTAGATTAATTATTGTTCTTGGTATTTTGAGAAAAAACCACATTAAAGAGAATATTTGAAGCTATTCTTCTCTTTATAAATCTTCTTAAATAAATTACTTTAAATGTCAAAATTTCTGTTCCATCAACACAATTATTCTTACAATCTTCAGTTCAATAATCTTTTTAGAATTTATAGTCATATTGCTATTGGAATTTATGAGTAAATATTAATTTAGAATAATACTAATTTACTATATAAGTGTTATATAATATATTGCATTACTTCATATATGTTTAGTATTAAACTTAATAATTACAGGACAATGTATTTTTTGTATTAAAACATTGTTATTTGTCTCAAATATTGTTTTATAGATCTAATTATTATTAAAGTATGGTTTTTGTGTCGTATGGTTTATTGTTAATTTAGAAATATATCAAATTTTTTTAATTGTCATTTGTTAATTCCCGTGCAGTCCTTAAACGAGAGGGTGAGTTCATTGGAAACATGCTCTTATATTAGGGGTTGTTTTCACTCTACAGTTTCTATATACATTGTATGTACAATCGAAATTAATGAAGACTATCATATCAATTGGTAACAGACGGTCTTGGTGGTATAGCAGTTTAGCACACTGCCTTACTTCCGATAATGATGGGTTCGATTCCTCACACGGCACATTTATATTCAAGAATATAATTGTTTGTGTCTGTCGGATGTTGTATGTATATTATGTTTGTACTGGTATTTAATATATGCTGTATAGTGCGAGGATTTGAACCAGGGACCATCGAAAGTAAGGCGATGTGCTAAACCGCACCGCTACACTATTGAAGATGTCTACAAAATTATTAATTTATTATAGTTAATGTTAATAAATAACCTATTTGTAACTTACTTGGTAGCATTTTTGTGAGCTGCTTCGACTAGAGCGAAACTTGAGCGCAGTTCTAACATTAGAATCATTCTTTTGATGAGTTCCAGCCATGCCTCTTTTGTTTCTTTTATTTTCTCCCCACCTTTAGAGATACCCAGATAAGTGTAAGGACCAGGTGCAGACTAGAAAACAAATTGAATTAATATAACTCTCTCTACCTATCTTTTCTTATTTTTGATAGCGCCGTAGCCTAGTAGTATACACTCATATAAACCATGAAATATCAGGAATATATCTCCCACAGCCTGTCTTTTCTTATCTTTGAGGCCGTCGTAGCTTAGTATACCCACTTAAACGAAGAGCTCGTGAATTCAAATCCAGCCACAACTGTCCCGGAAAAAAATGTGTAATTTATGTTTTACAGCTTTTTTAGTGATGAACATACCGATAACATACATGTGTTGCGCTCACCATAAAGTTGATAGTTAGTAATACCTCTGCCTACCTCACCTGGCATAATAGTGGTGAAGTTATACCTATGGTTATTATTTCTATATCATCTGTTTTCGTTCTCCTATATTATTTTCTCTTATTCAACATCATCATTTTTGTCCTTATTGATTTACTCTCTAAGATTAGTCTTTTGAATGTTTTTTGGCTATCTGTATTAGATATGCTCAAATACATGTAGCTTTCAAAATATTTAGTCATTTAGGTACCAAAATTAGCATTTTTTGCTCAAATACATACAAAGCTTTCAAAAATTTTGATCGTTTACCAAAATTAATAATAAAATAGAAAATATTATTACAGAATAATAACGACATAAATAAAAAAAACAAAGATTACAAAACAGTTTGAATGTGGACCACAGTTTATGCTGAATTCAGAAATACACACTTAATAAGAATTTTCACTTCTTGATATGAAACGAAATGTAAGATATGTTTCTTTAATATTATGACTGGCATAAAAAAATAACTGACTGACCGAAACAGCTGACGACCAGATAGATAACCCTCGCCTATACCTATACATGAAAAAGTCATCATGTTTTTCCTTTCATCATCCTTTTCTAGAGGACTATGGTATCATACACCCACACTGTTTAATTTTACTGTCATATCTCAACTTTCAAATCAAAACACACCTTACAAAGCAAGCAGCTTGGAGGCTGAAATAGCTGAGACGAATAGAACGGATCATAATGAAATTGTTGATGAATCAAGATTTTTAAATAATATATTAGTACAGTTCATACAGCGCCATTTAAACCCAAGGTAAGCAAGCTAACTAAAGCTTGTGTTTTGGGTACTAGATAACTGATACAAACATATAGATATATTTTTTTCTTAATAACGTACATATTATACATAGAAACCACCCAGGCGTGATGTGCGAGTAATCGAACCTGCGACCATTGGAAGTAAGGCAGTATGCTAAACCGCTAGACTACCGAGGCTGTCACAATAGCTACTATATATAGCTTACGACGAGGACGTCATAACTTTTGTGTCAACAAATAATCTGGAAGGGATGAAATAAGGGATGATTGTTCGTACAGACGAAGTCGTAGGTAACAGCTAGTTTACTGACAATAGTGATTATTCACCATCTTGTAACCATGTTCCTTTGCAACGGGTAGATACCTAAAAACAAATTATCAATGGATTAAGAAAGGATAAAGAAGATGGAATGACGGTATCTTCTATCCAGAAAAAAAAAACTGCGTAAAAGACGATCTTTCTCTGCACCACTCATGGTTGCCTGGTAGATTACGCCGCAATGTTCTTGTACATTGAAACGCCTACTTTGTACAAAGTTTATAATAAAAAATCACCTCTATTGTGTCATAATGAAGTACTTTGACGCCGGATAAAGTCTTCGTTGTGGAAGTCACTCGTACGTTCGCCTATGAATATAAAAAACCAATTAAAATATGTATTTAAAAAAATATGCATCTCTCTAAAGAAAATTATACTTAGGTGCCTAACCAGAATTAACATTAACAATAATAATAATAATAATCTCAGGACAGTACACAGAGCACCATTTAGACCCAAGTTAAGCTAGCTAAAGTTTGTGTTATGAGTACTAGATTACTGATACAAATACATAGATTTTTTTTTCTAAATACATACATATTATACATAGAAAACACCCAGACCGACACAAACAATCATACTCATGAATATAAGTGTTTGTGCCGTGCGAGGAATTGAACCCGCGACAACGTTATGGGCATTAGACAACTGATAAAAATACTTAAATACATACATAATATACATGGAAAACACCAAAACCAATATCCCTAATCATAATTCAATTCAATCGTCATACATGTTAAATATAAGTAAATATACAGATATGTAAGGATAACAGCTAAATAAATTTGTGAAAAATAACCACCAAGGGGGTCAATAATTAATTTAGTGAATTTTTTCATTTCGTCACTTAGAATGTTATTAATTAATTCATTATTCAGATAATATTGGATGTGTATAGATGGCGTTGTATACATATTTTATTGTTTTTGATTCATTATACGCCGACTCCGTCAGTCGAAGGCATCAGTATCAAATATGCGTACAATTTTCAATTGACTAGTAAATATTATTAATAATCGTGATTCATATACTTTGTATCAGCTACAATTGAATAAATAAGTAGGCATTTTGTCATTATACATTGTTATTTCATTACATTGTAATTGAATATTAACTTATTTAATCAATTGGTCACCAAGGCCAATTACTTATCAATAACATCATTATGATTAGCATTTATAAATATGAAATAGCTAATTTCGCTGAATTGCTCATCTGCCTCCGTGGCGCAATTGGTTAGCGCGTTCGGCTGTTAACCGAAAGGTTGGTGGTTCAAGCCCACCCGGGGGCGACAACTTTTTTTATAACTTAGGGGGTAAAGGAGCTTAGGACACACCTAAATGCGATCTCATTGTACACTGCAAATTGAATATACAAATGACAAAATTAAGCCTAAGCTTAACAACAAACTGCAGATTTGAGTAACAATCTGTCAACCTGAAGAGGAAACGCCACTTCACATTCTATGTGGTTGTAGCCCACTCATGCATAAACTAAATATCTCCTATGGAAAGTATTAACGCTATCCTGAGGAGATACAAACCATTGTTCCTAAGAATATCCTCAATTCTTGTCCTTGATGGGTCTAAGTAGCGAACTTTGAAAAAGGGTGAGCATAATAGATTTATGCAGGTCGCAGTGCTACGGGTCTTAGCGCATGACAACAGCCTCAAAACCCTCAATAAAAAAAAGGTTATTACCACAGCCCATGAGCATCTCCAATACCAGGGGATTTGCAGGTCAGTTGCCGGTCTTTTGAGAGTGGGTTCATAAGGGAAGAGGTAGGATTTTCTACATTAGCGTGACATAATATTGCCTTTACAAGACATGTTCTCTCAAGCATAATCACAAGCACGCCGGATTTAACGTTGAAAATAATGATTATCCCATTGCTAATTCTGCACCCGTCTGCGCTAACAGTTTACGCTGGCGAGGCAGTGGAGGATGATAATATAGGCATGAGATCAGGTCAGTAAGGCCACAAATTTATTAGGAACTTTTCACAAGGTTCCAGGGGGAACCGCGTGACATGATACTTTGAGCTATGAGGTCATTATCCCACATAACATAACGGATCAGAGCCAATTCCAGCTTCAAAAGAATTGACTACATTAAAGAATTGACATAAAGAATGGCATTATAAAAACAGGTACACAGCAGTCCATTGTACAATGTTCTAATGCAGCCAAAAACCGTACCAGATGGAGGCAAATTGCAAGGAGCTCTGTCGCCAAAGACCACAACGATACCATACCACAAGATATGCCATCATAAAAGTCACGACCACTCTGCCAAGAGTGAACGACTGAAGAAGAAGAAGAAGAACAAAAGAATCTGAGATTTTATACATTTCATAATTATTTGGAAACTGCTGCCTGATGGATACGACTTTACTCTGAGAACACCCCAAGTCATCGTCTACTCTACGCTGAAAACGCTGATTCTTGTCCGTCGTCTAATCAGACTCATTTCCAGCTTTTTAACAAAAAACCTGAGATTTTATTTATATCAATATTTTATAAAAACTACTGCCTGATCAATTAAACCAAATTAAAAACGTAAATTACGGGAACATTATCTAAACTTGTAACCTGTGTCCTGTTTTCTTATTGTTTTTTATTTTTACGTATAGGTTTTTTTTATTTATTTCCATTATTGTGGCAGTACATGATATTTCATTGTCAGATTATTAAATATGTATTTATGTATGGTTTATGTATGTATATATATATATATATATGTAGTTATTTATTAATATATATTTTTATGTGTATCGTTTAATATATTTTTTATATTTGCACCGCCAACAATTATTCTCTGCACCATCCATGGTTGACTGGTAGATAATGCCGCATGGTGTTAAGTCCGCCATATGTACTTTCAATTATGTGCATTAAAGTTTTAATAAATAAAAAAAAAAAAAAATATGGATGGATAAGACTGACGCACCGTAAGTGGGGACTTACGGTGGATGAATTGGATGGTGATCCATTCAACGCTGAAAACACTAATTCTCTTTCAGCCTGATCTGAGCCATTTCCAGCTTATTATCAAATAATTTTAACATTTATAAACATACTACTTCTATTTCGGCAAACAGACATGCAAGAATCAAATCATTGAGTATTATGGAAAGCTTCCACAATTTACTAGCGGTACTATATACCAGTACTGACAAAAGAAATCGCCCCCGGGTGGGCTTGAACCACCAACCTTTCGGTTAACAGCCGAACGCGCTAACCAATTGCGCCACGGAGGCAGCTGTTATGTTTTATGAAATATTTATACATAAATTTCGCACCTACAAATTCATTTTTAACACGTTGAACTCCTCATTTAAAAATCTTATTTCTCACATAGAGACCGGGATTATTTTTATTATCATTTATGTATATTACTTTTAAATATGTTTTTAGTGTACAATAATTTGAGGTAGATATTATTTAACCCATATATTTATTGCAAGTAAATTTACTTTCGTTGTGATCCACCGGTGGGCATGCAATCTTTAACGTGTTAAGATTATAAAGCACAAATTTTCTTGTATTTCGCCAAATTATCCCTAACATTGAGCAGAATTAAGTAATTGAGGATTATTAAATCCTGTGATACGGTACAACAGGCCTGGTAATAAATACGTGAAGCAAAAACTTTGTACCCCTTTTTACGAAAATTGGATGGAGGAGTATGGAACTTGGTACACTTGTAGTTTACTAATATTATAAACGCGGAAGTTTATGAGTATGGATGGATGGTTGTTTGTTACTCTTTCACGTAAAAACTACTTACTGCACGGATATTGATGAAACTTTACAGTAATATTGCTTGTACATCAGAATAACACATAGACTGTGCCTTAATAAGATATGTAAATTGACGAAATATAATAATAATTGTCAAGTTAATTTGTTGCGAGGGTCAGCTAGTACTTTATAGAGACAAGGAGAGCAGTTAAGCTAATATATTTTTTAATTATACATAAAAATACATTAATCAATAAAAAAAACATTAAACACACTACCATATATTTGAAAGATACGTATATACTCTTTTGTTTGTTGTTAAAGTCACAGACATCAATTTTATCAAATCGAGAATAGATTAATATTGTCTTACTGAATGTTAAATTAAATATGATCAACCACTAGTAGCATAATTACTCTATCAATTAACTATAATTATAAAAGAAATCGCCCCCGGGTGGGCTTGAACCACCAACCTTTCGGTTAACAGCCGAACGCGCTAACCAATTGCGCCACGGAGGCACTTGGTTTATTTAACGAAATACCAATATATAATTATAATATCAAGTATGACGTGATCAGGCACGTAAATAAAAGATATACAGTATAATAATCATAATATCTCCCTGAACAATTTATACAGCCCCATCTAGTCATAAGGTAAGCAAAGCTTGTTGACACAAGTTCTGGATACTAGATAACAAATATAAATATTTAGATACGTTGTTTTTGCAATTACATACATAGTATATATATAAAACGTCCTGACCGATACGAACAATCATACTCATGAACCGAACCGGTGACCATTGGAAATAAAAATGTGTAATTTGCTGGACCACCGAGGCCGTTCAGATAAAATATTTTCTCTATTTAATCATGTTATAGCCAATGAAAACTTCTACGAGAAAGCAGCTTGCTTTATAAACTGTATTTTGTATTGAAGCGTGAGAAATGGCAGTGAAGTTACAGGTAAGTGTCATGATAGCATATTCCTCAAAGTCCTCAATGGAAACCCGAGAGGAATATAACGGAAGTATGACGAAAAATTCCAGAGTACGTAACGGCCTTAAGAAGGTCCCAAAATCAAGTCGCCTATAAAAATAGGCTTTTAGATTTTTATATGCTTATGGATGAAGATTATTCAAAACATGTTCATATATTGAAATTTTATTAAAGATTTTTATTTCGTGAAAAAATCCAAGACCAAAAACCTATAATTTTATTGCTTAGTTCTGTTTCATCAAAGATGATGGTAATATAGTAAAGAAAATGGTACAAAAAATACTGTATAAAAGTAATATTATAAACATAAATTAAATACAAAACAGTAAATTATATATTGTAAGCGGAAAAATTAAAAATAAAAACAAAAATACAAATCAAGTTCATAGGTAAACAAGAGGTTGTTGCAACAAAGTTAGCTGCTGATGTATGTGGATGAGATTTAAGTACGCAGACATTTTCCGTATTACCTCTGGTATATATTACACTTTAATGTAAATTAGTATTATTACAGGTGTGTGTACAATACTCTAGTTATGTGACTGATAATTTAAAATATTAGAACAGGTGCCTCCGTGGCGCAATTGGTTAGCGCGTTCGGCTGTTAACCGAAAGGTTGGTGGTTCAAGCCCACCCGGGGGCGAATTTTTTGTACTTCCACCACACGTACTAAAAATAAACGAAAAAATATTCCCAGGGGTACCAGTTTGTGTTATCTGGATTGTTACTACTTCTATCTCACTCAATTCAGATGGATGCTGCTTTTGCTTGAGTTTCTCAATATTAAGGCATTGTTGTGACTGTATTTAATAAGATTATCGCGAACAGATTGCCATTTTTTTACGAACAGTTACATCTATTCACGAAAAGCCACTAGCTCTCGGGTCAAAGTAACTTCGATGAGCCGCGCTAAAGTACTCGCCATGAAATCTCTGCTATTGTCAATAGATATGTATAGTATATGGTGTATGGTATTGTAAGAATAATAGTTACCTTATTCTGCACATTTTCCAATACCATTTGATTCAAATCTGGGTAAAAATATCGACTCCTTGCGAGAAGTAAGAAAGCGTTGCGCATGTCATCACCAAAACTTTCATAGCATCTGTAATAAGAATACATCATCATTACTTCTGTATTTTCTATATAATAAGAACAACAAACAAGCTGATTACCAAACTAATGATAACTGCGATACCTCTCTTGCCTTTACATAAAACGAAGGATCGGTAGGAACAATCAGTGGATTCTGTAATTTAACTGCCTTATCTCACCAACTGACCTTATAAAGAAAGCTGCTCGGCGGCTGAATTAGATGACACAGAGGTATTCGAGGACTTTGTACAAAGTCTACGACAGAAAATGCCAATATATTTACAAACTAATTTTATATTAGTTGGAGATAATTAACTAATGAAGGATATCCACATGGACATGAAGCAATATATCGTCACCAATACAGTTCATTCTCAAAATCCAACAAGACTTTCTTTCCATCCTTCACCACCACCACATTTCAAAAGCTTCCAGTTTGTCTCTTTCTTCTAAGATACTAAATCACAAATACATCGGTTTAAAAGCCAGCAGCTTACTTTGTAAACTGCATTTCAATGGAAGAGGAGAGATAAGGCCGTGAAAATAGAGAATACGAAGCGTGACATCGAGAGTCAAGCTTAAGAGAACCACATAAGTCAAACGGATTCACATTATCATATGGAAGTCACATCGCTTTGATGATACCACGACAGTCAAGATGGCCGGCCAGCTTGTTTGCCATTCCAATTATATAAAAAAAAACTCGAAATTTCTATTAAGGATCGGCACACGCCCCTGATTTTACAAGCATCTATAAGTTACAGTACCCGATACCGCCAACACTGAGGACGCCAACACTGTGATCATGATTATCATCATTATTCACCTAAATATATCCCTATTTGTGTCAACTCTCCTTATACCTTTATGCCACTCTTTTGGTTTTGCGTCATCTCAGGTGTTAAACCAATCGGTAAAAAATGTTGGATAGTTCGAGCCCAGGTGGTTGATATGTAGGTGAGATGTAAGTGTGAGAATTTACTGACTTTTTACAGGTTATCACTAGTACATGTTACACTTTAATGTAAATTAGTATTATTACAGGTGTGTGTACAGTACTCTAGTTGTGTGACTGACACTTTAAAATATTTGAACAAATGCCTCCGTGGCGCAATTGGTTAGCGCGTTCGGCTGTTAACCGAAAGGTTGGTGGTTCAAGCCCACCCGGGGGCGAATTTTTTGCTCTTCCACCACACGTACTAAAATCCCTCTAGATGGTTCGAGACCAGATGGTTAGTGGACGTCCTCTGTCCTGTTTGCCTTCGACAATGGCCATCGCTTTTCTGGTTAGAAGGTCCGCCACATCACGTAGCCTTACCAGCATAAAACTACTTGAATGTCCCTCGAATATATTAATTGTGGACTTTATCAAGCTTAATAACTACGTGGTATGAAAAATAAATAGTGTAACAATATACAGAAGTACCAACTCATTTATTTCAGCGCTCAATCGTCTCAGTTCTCTGCCAGTCGCCAGTGCAGTCCATTTCATCAGTTTCCGTCCTAGATATGCCAGGTTGAGCCTGTTGCGCATCTGCTGAAGTGCGACCAAGGAAGGCATGCAGGGATACCTGACTGCACCCACTACATTCTCGCCATGTTCTGAAAGTAAGGTATCAGACTTAGATAATAATGCTGTTCTTAACTGCCATTTAGAAAATTTGACGTTCATAAGCGGCTAACATGTCCTACATGAATAAACGATTTTTTAATTTGAATTTTTGTTTGTAAAACTTAATAAATCTTCCATGTAGGATAATGCTTGTTGATGTATGCTTTGATTACCGACAGACTTGTTACTCAAATAACTATTTATTTTGATGAATTGAGAGGTATATAGGTAATATAACACCTCATATACATATATACCTTTGCTTCACTTTAAGGATTGCGCTAAACGTGGCATGGTCACATTTCAAATAGACCACCGTGGCTGGGAAAAGCTCGCAACCAGTAGAACAGATTGGCGCAAACGCGTAATGGAGGAAGGGTTTGCGATTATGTCTGGCTTCAAAGGCTTGCTGACAAGAGACGGAAGCGCCACCTAGGCGGCTCAGTACAGACTACTGCCAATAAATTCCCTTGTCGGACCTGTGGTAGGCCATGGCGTTCTCGTATCGGTTTATACAGCCACGAAAAGAGCTGTTCATGGAGCATTACGCCATAAATCGTCTATTAAATACGCATAGGCCATTATATATATTACGTACCTCTCATCATTGTTCATTCTGAAGTCATTTAAATTCTTTTTTTTATTTTTTTATTCTTTATTGCTCTTTAATAGAGTGTAAAAGAGGCGAGCTTAATGCCATATGGCATTCTCTACCAGCTAACCTTTGGGTAGAACTAGAAAGCGTTGTAGGGCAGTAATGGAAATTTGTGATATTAATACTGTAATAAATAATTAGCTAAACAAAATCTATGTACATATATAATTTATGTTATATAAATATAATATATACTTTATATATATATATATTTATTCTTGCTGAATTCGCCACGATGGACTAACTGTACTGGCTTCATACTCATCCTATCATCCTTAACTTGTTAGGTTTACCGTCAGCGATACGGAATCACAAATTTATTATCACCTGCAGAAAAAACTCCTTTATTGAAGGGGAAAAAATTGGGGGAGGATGACGCAGGCGGGGACTTATTGGCTAATTAATAAAGGATTAAAAAAGTAAATAGAGGCAACCTTTCGTACCGTCAGCAAAGCCGAATCAAGGGACAAAGGGGGAAAATAAGTTGAGAAAAGAGGGGAGGATGGGTGGCTAATTAATAGAAGTAAAAAAAATACAATCAACATTTCTTTTGGAAAATGGTCATTGGACTTTCTCTATGTATGAGTGGGGCTTCTTCAAGCTGAAATTAAGATCGCACGCTACGTCCTATACAGAATTGTTTCCATTCTTACCATCGTCATCCTTAAACATTTTCTGCCTTAATATAAACTATTACTGTAATTCTTGGTCACATATCTTAACAAAGTGATTGAGATGGAAGAAACTAGAGATATATGTAGTCTTCATTGTGTTTGTTGTAGGGTTACTACATTTTTATACGCAGAATTTCTATAATAAAACATTTTAGATTTCCATTTTGTGATTGTCCTGTGACATTGTCAGTCAATTATTATTGACATGAGTGTATTCTTTAAATTGACAGAATTGTATTCTTCTTTTTAGCGCATTCTTCTTTATCATTTAAAGGTAAAGATAAAGGTTAACCTTTCGTCGTCTAATATTTACACCGTAATCGTAAAATCGTAATATTTATATCACAGATTAGCTGTTCACGCGACTTCGTCCGCGTGGAATTTAACTTTATTTTTCTAAAATATAAGTAGACTAAGTTACTCCTTATTACATTAACTACATGCCAAAAAAGTCCCGTCAGAATCGGTCCAGCCATTTCATAGATTAGCCGGAACAAACAGACACACAGACAGACAAAATTGAAAAAATGTTATTTTTGTGTATGTACCGTATTTATATTCATATGCATGTAGTAAAAAACGGTTATTTCAATATTACAAACAGACACTCCGTATTTTATTTATACATATGCATAGATGTATAGATAATAGTAGTATAAATAATATTGGCCGCCGGGAAGATATCCTTTAAATCTAATGTCAATCAATCCACTTTCAATTTTCAATTTCAGTTTCAATCCACAATCAATATACAGTCCACTTTCCTTTATCATTTTCGCATTTAGATACCAATATTAAAAAGAACAACAATTCAGTTGAGAGAATAAGAGCATATAGTTTTTATTGATTTATATTATAATAGCTACTCGCCCCGGCTTCGCACGGTACATGTATTATGTATATAAACATACGATTTGAATCCCTCTATCTATTAAAAGGCTTCAAAATCTGTTTAGTCCTCCTTTTTGCGAAAATTATACGGCCGTATCAGTATGAAAGCTAAGGAGTGGAACTCTCTACCAGCGTCTATTTTTCCTGCCTCTTACAACATTGGGTCTTTTAAGTCAAGAGTGAATAGGTATTATTTGAGCTTGCGTGTAACAGCTTAGACCACAACATCACTTAACATCAGGTGAGATTGCGGTCAAACGCGCTCAAATTATGATATAAAAAAAAAATGAAATATTCAAGGTAAGAGGGAACCGAAAACCAGTATTTTTTTTTTTATTATAATTCTTAACACTTGCATTAGGACTAGAAACTCCTCATTATTTTATTGACATATGCATAAAAACATTACTAGATGACAGACTGCTGCCAGGTTATTAGAAAATGGTAAATAAGAAACCCTTATTTACACGCCAAGTATGGTATAACAAAAGTTAAATATATACAAATATAATAGAAATTAATTTGTGATTTGTGAAATTAATTATAATAGAAAAAGAATAAAATTAAATATAAAAAACAATTATTTAATATCATATTTTAAATGCCTATTGTCATAAAAAAAATATTGTTTGTTTAAAAATATTTTATAATCATTGATACAAATGCATTGTACGAGGAATCGAACCTGCAACCATCGGAAGTAAGTGTGTTAAATTTACTCCACCGACCAATTTATTACAAAACCAAAAAATGTTTTTTATGTTCATTCTAAAACTTACTATCTAGTATAAATTTATAATAAAAATATTTTAACAACTGAAATCAAGTTTTTTTTAGTAAAATCATCCGTTTATCTTCAGGTATAAGCAACTAGGATGAATTTAAGAGGCGCGTAATATGGAGTCTTGCTCCTTCTAATATCCTAGATGGTGTTAAACCTTAAACGAATTACCTGACGTTCTAATTTTCCATAATTATACCTTAATCCAGCGCTAGATAGTCTGCGCCTTAAGTGGGGAGCACGCTCGCTTAATTTCTACCCGACTGTAAAAGAGAGGTTTAGTTAGGGTTCAAAAAACAAATGTACGAAACGGAACACTTGTAACGTGTGACGGTGTCGGTGGTCTAGCGGTTCGCCTTACTTCCGATGGTCGCGGTTTTGATTCCTCGCACGACACAAATATTTGTATTTATAAGTATGATTGTTTGTATCGGTCTGGGTTTTTTCTATATATAACGTGTATGTATTTACGAAAAAATATATATCTATGTTTTTATATTAGTTATCTAGTGCCCATAATACAAGTTTTAGCTAGCTTAACTTGGGTCTAGATGGCGCTGTCTGAATTTTCCTCAGATTCAGCGGCATTTTACAGCGTCATTTATTTCAGTACGGTTTGTACAATTGGTACTAATCGATATATAATATTACTCAAATACTTTTATATTACTTTTATATTATAGACATAAATAGAAAGACGGGTGTTTTTATATTTATGTTAGAACAATACAAACAAGCACACTCATAAATATAAATGTTTGTTTTTTCAGAAAGTGAACCCGCTCCCATCGGAAATATATATATTCCTTTATTGCACAGATAATACAAAGATAAGAAAGATAATAAAGATAATTTAGAGACAATGTGAGCAAAGGTGGACTTATCCCTAGAAGAGATCTCTTCCAGTCAACCTAAAACAGTGGGATATGTGGTACTGATGGGTAATAACTGGTGCAAATAAAAAAAAATGTCCAAATAAGGCGGTGATGAACTTTTAGATCACCGAAGGCATTAAATTGCGCGTAAATATGTATTATATTATATATATTATATTATATATTTACATATATTTTGGATTATTTGTACGGAACCTTCGGAGAGCAATTTCGGTTCACAATTTGTTAATACCACAGTATATTTTACTACTACCGTACTCCCAACATAACATGTTTAGAGTAATAAACTGATGATGTAATGGCAATTAGATTTTTATATAGAAAACTAATTGAAAATTAAGAAGCTAAGTTGTAGCCTAAGAACATACATAAGCATATGCTTAATAATAATCAGTTATCTTTTTATTTATTACTAATTTATTATCTGTACCTGCGACTTCGTCCGCGTGGAATTTAACTTTATTTTTCTAAAATAAAAGCTGATGTAATAAGGAGTAACATAGCCTATGTTACTCCTTATTACATCAGCTACCTGCCAAAAAAAGCCGTCCCCGTCAAAATCTGTCCAGCTATTTCAGAGATTAGCCGGAACAAACAGACAGACAGACAGAGACACAAAAATTGTATAAAAATGTTATTTTGGTGTATGTACCATATTTATATTCATACAGACACTCCAATTTTATTTATATGTATAGATATTATCCAGAGCCGTAAAACATAATTAAAAAAAAATACGTGAAGCAAAAACTTTTACCTCTTAACCAAAATTGCTCGGACTCTGGAGTATGAAATTTTGCACACTTATAGTTTATATAGAGAAGGAGTGCAGACAGCTAATATATTTTTAAATTATGCATAATAGATACATTAAAACAATCAATCAATTAACAAACAGACTCTTAAATTTTATTTATTTGGTAAATATATATTGCATACAAATAAAAGAAATGACTCAAGAGCTCTTTCAAGTAGTAAATATATTTTGTGGCATTTTATATTTTCGGTATAATATAAATAAACATAAATAAATATATAACATATATAAATCACACTGGACAATTAACACAGTGCCATCTAGTCTCTAGAGCTATTATGGGTACTAGACAAGTGATATAAAAACTTAGATATATATTTTTTGTAAATACATTCATAATTGTACATAAGAAACACCCAGATGATACAAACATACATGAATACAAATGCTTTCACCATGCTAGGAATCGAACCCGCGACCATAGGAAGTAAACCGGTGTGCTAAACCGCTAGGCCACCGAGGTGTCGTATAAAGCATATAAATAGATTCAATCACTACAATTCTATTTGTGACATCATAAGTATTACCAAACACATCCCATTCACTTAGGATTCCATTCCAATCCGTCGCCCTTCTGTAAAACAATAAGGCATTCTTAAAAGCGGCATAACTATAGTGACCATACGTTCCGCTCTGGATGGGACAGTCCTGTCCTGGTTGTCTGTCCCGCAGTCCCTAAAAAATTTGGATTTTACATAAAATAACCCGTTTTTGTTTACAAACTTCATTTTCATGTGACCCCCGTGATAGCAACAGGGCGAGCACAATATGTCATCATATTAGGTCGCATGCTACAGGTCCAAAACACCATGTTATAGCCTAAATCCCTCAATAAAAAAAATTATACCACTGTAGAATAGACATCTTAGAACCTAAGTGGTCTCGAACAGTGCGGTTTCAGAGGAGCTTCCTCCCGCGTACACTTAGATTGTGGAATGAACTACCTGCCGAGGTTTTCTCGAGAGACTACAGCATGGGGTTTTATAAGGGTATAACGTTAAGGTTTATATATATAAAGTACACGTGGCAATAGGCTACGATAACCATTTACCATCAGATGGGCCGTATACTTGATCACCACCATCGTAGTATAAAAAAGCAAGCTGCTTGGGGACTGGAATAAGTGAGACGGACTGCACAGTGACTTTTTACAAAGTCTATCTCGATTTTGATCCAAATTACATTACTATAATGTTCATCATGTTATTACGATTTTATGTGTCCCACTTTAACAAGAATATATGGTCACTTTAGGCATAAACTCGAAAGTAATAATACTCCTATAATATGGAATATGGTATCCAGTATTTCGTGATACCCGATTCACTTGTACTTAAAAAGGATTTAGGGTTCAATAAAAGTGTTGCACGAACGTGTCAGTACCCACAATACCTATTATATGAACACAAAGAGCTACGGAACCCTCTTTCACACCTCTCTGCTTTTGATTCTGACTGTGGTTATATTATTTAATAGGGGAATATCTGCATGAAAAAAAACATTTCAAGATATTTGATTTATAGTTTTAAAAGAATATTTTCTGATATTATATATCACGCCTTTAATCCTGGATGGGGTACTCAGAGACATTTTTTTAAAGGTGGTAAAATAATGGTGCATCTTTTTTTTCGGACTACTCTAATACTGTTGCCGCAGCTGGCCTTTACAGCTTCACCGAATGATAGGGGGCTAGTGAAAATGGCACTCCAAACCCGCGGAAGGGCTTATGGAGTGACTGAAGACCAACCCTTGCCTGACGGATACGACTTTAGACTGAGGGAAACTCTAGGAGTTCGA